CAGTAAGATCGTATAAGATCTTATATGATCCTCGTACGATTTTTGCACCTGGGTTATTAAATATTCCACCTTGAAAAGAATTGTTAAGATGAAGAAAAGTTTCGAATTGATAAGGAAGTGAATAAACATGACATCTTCCTTCACCTTCGATTACTGTAGAATCGGCATAGAATCCAACTTGTTGATATTCTCTTTCAATAAAACTATGTTGAATATCTTTATTAGATGGAAAAACGATGTTAATGTTCTTCTTGATAACAGTTGTGTTTATACTGAAAATTAATTTGTTTAATTGTGGCATATAACTCTGAATTTCTTCATATAAATGTGTACCATCAATATAATTTAAGTCAATTCTTATTACCGACAAAGATAATATCAATTCTTCAAGATTTATCATACGACGAAGTAATGGAATAATTTCATCATCATAATACAATATATCATCAAACGAGATCAATGAAAAATATTTCAATTTGTAAAGTTTTTTCTATAAAGAAATTAAAAATTAAAAATCTCTAATGTTTCTTCAAAACACGATGATCAGAAATATACTTACCATGTTATCTATATTTGATAATTTACAAGAAATTTTTAATATATTAATAATCAAAATCGATAAATTATCGAGACGTCCATCAAGAAGATAAAGACAAGCATCAAAAGTATTGACATTAATTTTCAATTGAGTTAAAGTTAAAGACATACAACTTGTTGATGGTAAAGCAAAAATATTAAATGACCACATTTGATCAGGAAATAATTGACAAAAATTTAAATTGATTAATCGTTTACATAAAGATAAAATCAATATGAATACATTTGAGAAAATTTCAAAAACTATTGGTTTTATCTTATTTCGAATGCTAATACTAAGATGCGTGATTTGTTCAATGAGACGACGTTGAAGAATTGAATCACCTTCAATTAAAAATTATTAGTTTATGTCTAATAATTTCATTATTTCGTTGATTAAAACGAATAAAATTAAATAGTATTACCTGTTAAATATTGATAAAGTATTTCTTCTTCAAAATTAACAAATGATAATGAGAAAAGTTGAGGATAAAAATTAACATTAAGAAGAATATGTTCTATTGAATGTGGTTCAACAGTAAGTTTATTTATATGTTGATGAATTCGAGGTAAAACTTTTTTATAAATTCTATCAAGAACTTGATCAGATATTGAAGACGTATCATCAAACAATGATTTTGTACTCAAATCAAAATTATGAATATAAAGAGGATTAAGTACTAATCGATCAAATTGTTCATTGACATCCACAAGTGAATAAAGAACATCAACTATATTCAATTTGTTGAAAATTATCAATAAGATTTCATTGGGTAAATCAAGTATATTAATAAAGTTATTTTTGAAAGTTTCCATGTCTAACTCATAATGTCTATTTGTTTCTATTTATATATGTCTTCATTGACCCATACGTGAGAACAATAAAGAATAACTATTAATCCCGTAAGTTTAGGCTATAATGAATGGCTGATAGCATTGTTCTTTCTGCCTAACATTTTCCATTATTCATCAGTGGCTTCTTGGTTAGGTCACCGTTTTTTTTTCACTATGTTTCTCATATAGAATACTCTTTATAACTAACATAAAATATCATGTTCAGAATAAACTATGTATATCAATCAGACATTAGAAAATATATTGTTGAATAAAAGACTATAATTAATTTTATTTGGCTAATCTCAAATAACAAATCAGAAATAGTGATTCATTCGGTAAAATCTAGAGATTTGTGAAATCGAAATCGAAAGTGTACCTTTGATTGATATTAAAATTTGTAGTTACATTGTTCTATTGTTTCTAAATGAATTGTTTTATATATTATACTAATCAAAACATAACATAATTCAAAAAGGGCAAAACTAAATATTGTGATATTTGTTGACTCAATAAATCAAAGAATTAGAAACT